AAGTTGGTGTAACAATAATGAATTCTAGCTGAACTATTCGGCAGATTCTCGAAACTTTCCTGAGGGGCTCGGAGGTTTTGAACAAGTGATCTGCTATTTTGTATTGTTGTGTTTTCACCTGTGACTCCTTGCTGAGGTCAGTAGATGAGCTGAAAAACCTATGTTTTGTTCATACCTGTCTTGTTTTCTGAACAAAACAGCTGTACACTAGAAAATGTGGTAATTTCCTTAATCTTCGAGTTGGTTAACGATGCACGCTGGGTTTCATCACTCATAGAAAAATGAATTTCTCCATTAAGCACAAATTTGACAGTCTTATTATTTTGCGGGACTTATTTATAAATCTGAAACTCTGCGTATTGTACAGCTGTTACACACAGTGATTTCAGTCGTGTAAATCCACAATAAACTTGGTACCGGCTTGTAAATTCAACGTTTTCTCAATGACACGATAACAAGTACACTAGAACACGTGCAGTACCCAAAGTAATGTTGCTTTACTCTAGAGCAGTGGTACCGCAGTATTACAATGCCTATGGAAAATGTGACATTCATCGTGCTTTATTTTTCTCATTTGTTTAGAGTTTTAGCCATGGACATCCCACTTTTTGTTTTGAACCATTTTTTATGTTACGGATGTCTGAAAATCGTTTTCTCTGTTTTATCTTTGATACACTTTATTAGCTTTTCACTTAAAAATGGCTGGTACAACCTGGAAAAGGTTTGAAATGAGTGAATAAACGTTCGTATTAAACATACAAAGGATACATCACATATAGTAATCTATCAACCCTGAAGTATTCGTAAAATTCACCGACAAGTTATTCCTTTCAACCTCTTGGAAAACCTCTCTAAATTTTCCGTCAGAGTGAACTTGCTCGTGGTGTCAGGTATAAAGTAATTCACGCCGAGCGTTTACGCACGGATTTGTACAGAGTTAACAAGCAAAGTACAAAATTAACCTTGATGCGTCTATTCGGTTGGGTGAATTCATCCATTATATTACTCTAGTATAGCTCGCGTTCTGTAGTCGCTCGGTAGGAGGCGAAAATGGGAAGAAAAACGTACCTGAATAGAATCTGTATTATTGGTGTGTCCTATTGTGTTTTTTACACCTTAATTTGTTCTCTCTTGGCTTAAACCATTCAAAATTCTTCTAGCACAACCTAAACGATTAAACATTTTGTTTGTTTACCCTCAGCTATCATGTTAAACTGTAGAGGAAATAAAGAATGAATCTACATACAACTTTGAAATATCATCTGACGGACAAAGCGTTGCATTCCCATTCGTTCCTCTTTTCAGAAACCATTATTATGCATTACGGCAATCCCGTTTTAGGGAGGTGTATTTTATCTGTGATACCTGCACACTTCAAATGGTGTTTAGGATTTACCCTAAACCTCAGTTTGTATCTGCAGAACATAAATAGTCCTATCTCAGTTATGTAACATCAATTCAGTTGACTGCTGAAAAATATTTTGAGGCTGATTATCTGGCTGACAAATCACAGTGATGATGCTACATGCATATTTGTCTTATAGGTTATGCACTAATTGGCTTACGCTGCACACGAAAAGATGACAGATTTTGCCAAACATGTCAGTATACTTGACTTAATCCAATACTTTTCCAAAAAGCGTGATGATAAATGATAGAATTGCATTTAAGCCATAAAGTGAATATCAAACCTTTAGACACTGTATTTGCTCCCTTTTTGTTATTTTGAATAAATGTTGCAGACAAGCAGCGATTTGTATTCAGTGTGCCATCTTTAAAGACAGCCCTGCTGTCGTTTAGACACTCTTTGAGGACGGAGAAAAATTCTCTGTGGTTTAACGAGAGGAGTCGTTAACTGCGGTCATTCTGTGAATCATCGCAACCGAAAATATCACCCTTGATACATTTATTTTTTGGGATAAACAAAACGGACCGAGTTATTATTTCTCCTTTAGGGTAACTATGCCTCAATAAAAGTTACATTGGGCTTTTGTTTTTCAGGCGTATGAAAAGTGACTGCCTTGTAAAACATTTTCTCTCTGCATGCTAACTACTAGTTTCAACCGTGTTACGCACATCTAGTATGGATCAATTCCGCACTGTTGTCTGCATTTCTAGACAGACAAACCAGCAATCTGTGAGCTGGGAGGTAGACTAGATATGATGCCACCATCCTTGATCGAAGTGTTGGTGACTTTCCCGAGGCCATCTAGAGAAATTCCCAGAAGAGTTGTAGAGCGATGTGGATCCTAAAAAAGTCACACATTTTCTGAAAAAAAGTTTCAACCAAGCATTTTCCTACGAATCCAGCTCTGAGAGGCTCTTACTGGACATGAATAAACTGAAGGCAAAACTAAGTTCACACTGAAAATAAAATATTTTGGGCTAAACACGAACACGCAGACATACGGTAATCGGGCAACTGGTATAACAGATCTTTAAGCCCGTTGTGGGACATTTTGCTTTAGCCACACAGCAAATTTAATTTAGTGTCGTACTGGTCGCAAGTTGTGAAGGTTTGTTTGAAACAAAATCATTATTCACAGCATGGTAAATACGAGATGGTCGAGATTGATGCGTCGAAATACTGAAAATTACAGTGAAACCAGCTAAGTACATTAAAGTCTACATTCATTTTGGGACGGTGGGGCATTTTTGTGAAGCTGGTTTGTACGTGCTAGTTATTACCTACAAGTACACGCGGACGACTTGCCCGCAATTAATCTGCAGAATCAAATAAAACAACACGCCAAATATTTAGCGTAGTGCCACCGGAGTCCCCCGTCTTATTAAATATCTCCACCTCGAATTTAGAATTTTACAGCCATAAATATACACATTGTCTGAGCTGGTGATTGAGCACGTCTAAATTTATACTGTGCACACCCGTAGCAATTACAAAACAGCACCAGTGCGGAACGTTGATACGGCTAATCGAAATTATTGAAGGATTTATATGAATTTCCGGCATATGTTCCACAGGTATATCAGGCAAACCTTGTGTGCGACTCTTTTTTGAAGTGCTGTAGTATCTCCTCGGCCATAGGACTTATTCACATCAGACCCTCAGCAGCTGCCAAACAGTTTAGGAAATAAATACTTTGGGACGATATGACCTATTTGATGTGGTGGGCAACGTTTACAAGCCTAGCAATAAATTGCTAGAACCTCATCTGTTCTATCAACTCTAACTTGAGTGATTTTTATCGAGCATAAATCCACCGTTTGCGTTCATTTATCGTCGATAGACAATTTAGTTTCGTATCCAACACATTCCCGGTGGTGATGAAATAAATCAATCTATTTTTATGATGGTGACAGATCCAGCTAACCAAAGTTCTCCACAATGAAGTCTTGTAATCGTTGGGTGGCTTTTCTCCTACCTGCGGTCACTTCAGTTTCCATTTTAAGTAAGCTGCGTACAACTAAAAAACCATTTGACATATTCTGAGCAAAAAACAGGCTGAAAAATATGCTGCAAATTATGGTGCCCCTACTGATACTTACACTGCTTATCCATGTTTGTTAGCTTGTTATCCGGTTACTTTGTTATCATAGACATTTTCGTTTAGACTCCATCTGTTCCATTCGAGTAGTGTTTCTTTAGGTTAACAATCAAGTTGTCAAACATAATATCTGGCGCTCATTCTCTTTTCCTCACAAATCGATAATTCGCCCTCATCAAGCTGTACACCTGACTAGTCCTGCGGAAGTTTTACTTACTCAAAAGGGCTATTGATGTACTAGTCTTAAGTTCAAATTTGACCGGTGAATATCACTCACAATCGATGGCAAGAAAAACAAATCCTTGAGTCTTGGAATGCGGTATACAATAGATCTGTATTAGTGTTCCATTTTTGCGGGAGAGGAGGTTGAATAAGTATATTTTGCGCTCGTTGGTTTTTGAGACGAATCCATAGGATACGTCACCTGTTATAAGATCAACGAGCACTTGGGTTTTTCGTTGCGTCACGGAAAAAAGGAGGAGTGGCTCAAAGTTCTGTCCTGCAGATGGCTACAAATAAGGTCAGCTTTGAACAGACGTTTTTTAGATGAATCAATCCAACAAAATCTCTGGTCGTAGAACATCATACTTTTTCTCCTACTTTCAGGAATGAGTTAATTAAGTTGAGTCCTAATTGTTTGTCTTCTGGTCGAGATTTAGTCTTCAACAACTTTAGCATCAGCACCGGAATGACTGTCTACCAGCAAACCACCAAACCAATGGCGTGTATAGACATTGTTTGTCTTTGGTCTGGTTTAAGTCTCAACCAGGTCGTTAGAAGCCGTGTGCCGGACAAAACTCTAGTTTTAAGGCAGACGAGTTTACAGATGTGTGACAGTATTTCTTGCCATACACTATACAAAATTTATCAACTCAGAAAGAAGACTATGGCATGTTTCAACATATGCTATCCTTTTTCCATACCTTAACAGGTACGTTGGAAGAAGAAAGAGTTCACTACAGGCCCACGAGAAGTTATAAAAAGGGAGAGTTTAAAACCAACAAGCAAACGGAATTAACGCTGACCGATCACATTATGACGACAATAATCCAAAAAACGTTTCATTACTTATACACATGTTGCTCCCGGTTCTCTTCGGATCCCTAGTTAAACTTCATTCGCAGGCAAATGTATGTCATAGGTGTGATGATGTTACGCCTGAAAAACTTTGAAATGACTAGAAAATTTTATTGAACACCAACTGAAAAAAAAATTTCAATGGCTGAAGAATGACACATTATCACTGACTTCATTCTCTTCTGCAGATTAAAGAGTGTATGATTATCATGACGCTTGTAAAGACTTTGTGTGTATGACTGTGCAAGTTGTTTGGGAGCCACATTTTCCACCAAAGCGCTTCCCATTAATTATACCTCCTTCAAATTTTGGTCGAATCTGATAACCTTTCATCTTGTTCCCATTGGGAAGAATGGCGTATCCCAACCCAAAATGGGAACACACAATTTTCAGACAATTTTTATTGGAAATTTTAAGTGGCGCACGTAAATCAATCAATAAACAATGAATTGTCCCCGAATTGCACAATAGAATACAGTCTGCACGGTAATATAGCAGTATCTTTGTGGAAAGGTGTGACACTTACGGGAAGGAGGGATGGATAAAAACAATAGTTCTGTTTTAAAAAGGGTTTCGGATAAGCAAGTATTTCTGTACAGAAACGGAATATCCTCAGAAGTCAGTGTTTCAGTGTCATACATTATACATCCGGAGTGGTTGTGAACGAGACGGTTGAAAAGATACGTTTCTGCAAAGGAAGTTATAGTAGATCGTTAAACGAGAAAGAGTCCAGAAACGCAGTGGTAAGGCAATAGGAAGAGGAAGGGCGTGATATTCAAGGACCTGTTTTGATTTATGTATGCATTAACCAAAATCACATTTTCCCACATCTATTTATGGCGTCAGTAACCAGTAATGTGCATACTGGGCAGCTCTTTCGTTCACGGTATTAACCAGATAACGTCCACTGTATGACAACTCTGCGTAGTCGAAGGTGTATTTTTATGGCATTCACGTGCAATTAACGCTTCAATCACTCTGACAACACAGATTTGTTTGTTACAAGTTAATGCTATTGGATCTTGTGATACTAAACTTCAATTTCATTACGGATGAAGCCTCAGTTTGAGATTCATGTGTTCTGTATAAAGTATTGCAGAATTTGCGTCGAATGAAGGTAAAAAATTCAGACTCAGGAATCAAATGCATTCCATCGTTCAGCAAACGCTTATCGTACTTTTCTTTTGAGTCGCCTCGGCTTAAATAGACTAAAGCAATAATTCGAACACAATACAGTCACACTAACTGGAGAGTAGTTGCACAGTTATCTCGTCCAGACGCTTAAACACTCCACGGATAAATGTAAACTGGAGAGCATTTAATCCCATCGAGGAACTGTGACATTCACTTGAATATAACGGATAATGCGATCACTCAAGAGAGCATTCTCTTTCAAAACGCCCGCCCGATTGTACATCAATGGTTAGTGCCTGTTGATTAGAGCACCAAAACAAGCCAACAAAGAAAATTATTTATACGTTTTGTGACCAGCAAATTTAACACTTAAATATCTGTTCTAGAAAGTAAACGCTTGGTTGCTTAAACGCATTCAGATGGTATTATTCCAGAAGGCTACGTTCCAAAAATATTTTTAAGTATCCGGTAGTATCCAACTCATTGTATTATTGTCCATGAGCGACCAGATCATCTACCCCCTTAGGTGAAATCATCCCGTTATTTATAACCTGTTCAAGTTGTAGATCATCAGTATGATGGCTTCCCGTAATCGTATTTATCACACTAGGGTTTTTATCCAACGATGAATAAATAAACAGTTAGTGAAGGCAGTGAGCATTTTGCGTGTTTCTTAGATTATTTGTGCCTCCATCCTCCAGCACGTTGCTGGGACGTTTGTCATGTGTCGTAATTTTGCTTAAAAACAAGCGTTGCATGATGACAAACTTCTAACATATTGAGGTGAGAAATGTGACCGTTTTCGAAAGACGTTTGGAGCACTTAGCCGTTTTTTGTAAATGGGGTTTTCTACTTCTTGTAACTTTTCGCGTTTATTTAGAGACACTTCCTTGCACAAACCTTCCAACCAAGTAAAAAAAGAGCCGTCAGTAAAAAATTTCCAGATAGCCTGTGAAGTTTACTGGCTAGAGTTTCTTCTTCAGTTGGTTGCGAGTCATCCCTCATTAAGTGAAACAAAATTTTGCGGTAGAATGAAACAGAACTAGTATAGCGAAACCAGAACTATTCCGGGATACTTTCACGCTGCCAATCAACCATTCTCGGGCAGGATTCCAAAATAAAACCCTGAATCTTTAGGGTGATTCATTATTTAGTTGAGTAGTAGAAGACCAGTCAGTCAACACCTTGCCTGTCATCTGTCCTTATCAGTCAACTTAAGAACATTCGTTGGCGAGTGAAAACAGTCTTCGTCCTGCTGCGTCGGGATGCCAATAGCAGTAGTAAAGAAGAAATTAAAGGTTTCTTTTCGGATATGCTACCATTACTTGTAAATTCTGCGTTTGATACGATTATCAAATCGTGTCACTTAATGTTCCGATTGTGTTTCATCAACCTCCAATTACTTTAGAGCTGTGTGCCTCTAACCTGAATTAACTATCTTTGAAGAATAGTTAACGTGTGAAATTATCAACAGTATACGAAACTCAAACCTATGGAACAGCAACATTAGTAGCTGAAATCACTTGGGAAAAACTGCCATGTGTGTGCTTAATGAATGTGACGATAGTTCTACACACTGCCGCAATTAGAAGCAATGCGATCCTCATGGGAGCTTGCCGTGAAATTACGCAGCGTACAGGGATTCTGGGTGACCGAAATCTATACACTGCTGTGTGTGGTTTAATCCACCATTGTGGTTGCTTATTAGATGGGTCATGGCTGTCATTTCATTGGCACGAAAAACACTGTCTACTTGTAAAATGAGTTATTTTAGCACATCTGGGAACCGTGGTTCCTCAGTACAACTAAACAAATCGGGGTAGTCTCGCGTTGTTAAATGGTATGTTTTGTTGCAGAATACTCACATCTGGCAGTACTCGTTACAGTACAGTAATCTCCTTACTCAGGTAAACACCTTCAGGGAATTCCAAAATGTTTACACGACGTGATTATTACTCAGTGGAAGAAACATGTATAATTCCATCTGAACTTCTTCAGCTGTGGAGAAAAATTTTAACTTCCGCGGACGTTTTTTTCATAACAGCGTTAAAGGATGAAGGATAGACGTTTCCGTTTTGTTCGGAATGAATTCTTTAGATCCTTAGTGCCGGAGACTATCCATAGTTCGTACGTGTTGCACAAAATGGCAAAACTTTTCAAGGGGTTTCAGTACCTGCCATCTAGGTCATACAGGTTTGTGATAGCTATTTCTGTACTAAGTGAACTGGCCTTGTATCGCTTTGATAATGTCATGCTTCGTCTAAGATGTGAAGCCTTTTAAAATGTTAATAAGCTATTGATTCATGGCATTTCTAATGCACTGTCTTCTCATAAGAGGAACAGCAAATAGTTGTGGGACCAGAAGACATCCTGTTTGGGGTTTTTTGCGAGCAGGTATTTTTCTGAAGATGAATTCCCTTTTTCCAAAGTGTCCCCTCCAATTGAGCTGTTTTTCCTCGCGAGTCTACAACAATCTCTGAAATCAATATTGTCACTTAGGTTTAGAAGAGTGAGATTTTTCGGGCGAGCAGTCAGCAAAGTCACCAAAGTCAACCATTTGCTCGGATTCATATTCAGAACTATTCCGCGATGATTTTGAGTCCCGAGTTTACCATATGTGTACTCACGCTAGTGTGTGTTCCTGGCCGTGTCTTTCATATACACTAACTCTGACCCCACTTGTCATTGTGTCCAGGAATTACACCTGTTTCGGAGAGATTCGGGCGCCTCTGTGAAATTTCTGCATTTCATTTAGGTCATACATATGAATACTCAATGTACCTAATAAGCCTGTATAAGTCTACTTGGAAATTCCGAAAGTTTTCCCGAAAACTTTAGACTAATATTTATAAGCGGGTGCCTGTTCACCATACCCATCTATCTAATTAATTACAGGTGACAGAGCGCCACGGAGAACAAGGTTATTGATCTATGCCCAACCTTTGGTCTGTCTTTAGGAGAACAGCCCAGCTGATTGTCTGATGAAGGACGGAGCAAAAAGCGATGATACAGATACCAAGGTAGGAGGCAGTACTGTGAAATATTCAGCACGAATCCCTAAAGAAAAACTGAAATGAACAAATTGGCAGTTCATGAGAATTGCAAGATTCCAAGACAGTTCTCTGACGGTCGTCAGTTTTATTAGATGGTCACCTAATATTTCGACTTTCCGAAGCATTCTATTTGTGTAGTATAATTTATGCGCACTGATTAAGTTGATTTTTTGAGTTTGTTTAAAAAAAGTCGAGGATGAACTGCCAGTTTATTTTATTCGAGTATTTGCACCACCGGCTACGGTATTACTAAGCGTTCGGTCGGTACAGCACACTTTATTTGCCATAAAGCACGTACCAGTTTATGCCATTTCAAGCTGTTACTGTTTCATTCAAGGGGATAAGCGTGCGTTACGGGAATACAGGAGTGCGGATGAAGGATGCGCTGAAGCGTCTATGGATGCCTAGTCTTTCCGTCTCATGAGTGAAAAGTTTGGCTTTTATGCACGCCAGCCACTGGGCGCTTGAACGGACTACATATATCGCTGCCACCACAACTTTAATTTTCTTCCCCTGAGGTGTCCATCAGGTAAGACGGTATTTGTTCAAAAAAGTGGTTTTTTGCGAAAAGATTCCATAACCTTCTGTAAACCCGTCGAGTGACCGAATTAAGAGGCTTCGACTCACAAAGGCACGAGCGTGAATTATTTGAACCTTCAAAAAGTGGAGCAAATGTAAAGTCATGTTGAGTCGGTTTTTCGTAAAGGACGTGTAAAATCGTGTGACTGCATGATTTAAACAATTTAAAAAGCACTGTAGTTATCGGTTTTGCGTGTGGCTTCATCACAAGCTTACCTATACGGTTCCGCTAAAGTCTGGCAAAAAGCATTACCTGATAATGGTATGTAAGCATTTAAATTTTCTAAAGCCTTAAATTAGGTACTTGTTCACAACAAGCCAGATGTCAAGTGAGACTTGTACTGCGCTTAACTTACACGATCTGGGTGTCATATGTGATGCAGTTGATCCAGCTGGGGGCTGTCCGAGAACAGTAGTCGCCATTGAAGTTGTCTCCGTGCCTGTACCTCCACCGGAACTGTCCTCATCGCTCTCTTCGCTCTCACTGGGTGCCTCTAAGCCACAGTGCAAAGTAAGCTGGATGGCTCGAGTCAAGCTGACCGCCGGAAAATAGACTCCAGGTGGAAGATTCGTGAAAGCGATTGGTCCATGTGGCTCGTCATTTAGATAGTAGGATAACGTGCCCCTGTTGCAGTCAAATCGCACACCCACTACTGATCCCGTCCGTACTCCTCCATCTGTTCGTTCGAAGTGTTCACCGTTGTGAAGGAACCAGCTTCGTTTGTGGTCAAAGTATACAGACCAGCTACGCATGTCCAAACCTGCACATTATCAAAGGAAAAAGGCATCTTGTAGGGGGCGTCTGCTCAAATGATTCATATAGAGCGTGAGATATAAATCAGCCTGTATTATGAATTCAATTAATGTTCGTACATTTTTTATCAGATCAACGAGACACCAGCTTGCTGCCATATACAGTCGGCTCGTACCCTTATTTTGTTCAAAAGCACATCATGTACAAACGATGTTTTTAAAACTCTGTTCTAGTTCTCAACCTCTATCATAAGATAGGACTACCTTGGTGGTCCAAGTATTTTAAAGATTCTTACATTTTTGTGAACCGCAGACTGAACATAGTCTGTATTGACTTTCATAAAAAGGGATCTCATTTTCAGAAGGACACAGCTTCGTGACCAAACTTGTGAAACACTTAGTAAAATTTACCTCAAATAGTGGATCTGCGGTCCACCAAATTCCGATTAGTTTGCCATCCAGAATGCGGAAATCTCTAAAGAGAACACGTCAACTTGCTAGGCCCTCTTAACCCATTTAGTCTTTACACGAGTGTAACCGACAACCACCTTGTACAACCAAGGTTTTAAACAAATCTTTTGGACAGACGGATTAACTAAACGCTGCCTAAATTTCGACTGGAAAAAGTATTGACGTCAACGAAGATATGGAAGTGCATACCGAAAATTTGGTGGTCGAGTTTGACACTTCATATTTCAGATGTATTCATATGGTCGGATTGAAATTAAAACTCAAGCTAATTTTGATTGAACATTAGGCACCACAACAGATCAGCCTCATGATAACTAACTCTAGGAATGAATGGCCTCTGAAAAGGACGCTGATATTTAAAAAAACTGTTCATGATAGCCACATTCCTGAACTTTTTTGCCGAACGGCTGTGCAAACCAGCTAGTGTAAAAGTGACTTTGGTGTGGAAATTGTAAGGACACTCCAACTAAACCTGATCTGTTAATCGAGCTTGAGAGTTTTCTTGCAGACCCTTAGACCCCTTTTATCGAAGGAGGGAGACTTCCGGCTACCAACAAACCTGCATACCAAACTCACAAAACCTGTCACCGAAAACGTTTCAACGATTAATGACGAACGTTTTGTAATCAATTTTGTCAAGCCATGCAAACAGATCAACACGGGGTCTAAAACAGTCTAGCTAGATTATTCATACAGTTACTGTACCAAGGTTACTGCCCAAGTAAACCAATAGAATGAATGTTGGGAGTAATTTATGACCAGTTGGTAGAGTGCACAAAAGGAATAGTCATCCGCGTTCAGTAGACTAGCCTAATTGGCTACCAGGTCCAGCACTTTCATGGAGTACCAAATGGGACAGAATGTACCCATGAGCACCCAACTACGATTTACACGTCACGGTTAGACTGTTGTTCATACCAGTGTCCAATTTCTGACCAGGCATTTTTTCTGAGCCCACACAAATTGAATGATTCGCTGAGGTTTCAGCCGTGATTATGTTTAAACCGCTCCACGAAAAATTCCCCAGGAAGAAGAAAAATCGAAATTTAGAAATGTTTTAAGCCACATTCTTCTTGATGTGAGAGCATACATGTCCAGAAAAAGAGTTAGCAAAGATTTCTATTAGGGTTCATCTATGATATTCGCCTAAATTTTTTTCAATCAGAAGCCACGCTATAGCTATCGCTGTTGTTTCGTTATCCTGTAATAGTGACTGTGAATGACGCAGGTTCCTCGCAAAACTTATCTCGGCTTTTAGACACCTTAGAGGCTTTACTTTTGGAAGAAAAACAAAGCCGCGTGCTAAATAAAAATAGCTTATTAATGAAGTAAGACACAAGACAAATTCATTGTTGCGTACGAGCAACACGACAAGGTTATGCGACAACAGAAATCAGTTAGTTAATACTGCGCATCAGAGGACTCCTGAGTTTGTTAGTCCTGGTTCGTTTTTTATCCCACACGTGCTAGACAAGTTGCACTGCAAACGACTGCAACCCCCGGTGGTGTCCGAGTTCTTTCAGAGAGATACGATTCATGACCTATCTTTCGTTGCCTTTACAGTTCAGAACAGTTTACAGCAACATGAGGCTTCGTAAATTTTTTTCGCCTTCCTTTGTTGCTTTGCGTAGGACACATGGAATTTTATGCTTTTGGAAATTTAGGACATTTTCCTGCACTGTTTTGTTGTAAGATTATGCACCTGTCTCGCATCAAGACAAGGAGCGAGATGGCCAGACAGATTTCATCTACGTCATTTGTATTATAGGAAACACAAACAAAAAGCTGGCTGTTGGCTACAAAAGCCATACTCCAGTGGATTAGAGAAAACAAAAACATATGTAAACAAGAGTTGTGTTATCCATAGTGAGCAGATTGATTCACTCATTGGCTTTGATTTGATAACTGCTATAAAATGATGGGTATTAAGTAACAGATGAATTTTAGTTCGATGATAATACCAGGATACTAGGGAAATTGTAACTGATATTCCGTTTCCTAAGTGAATTCGCTCTACACTAAAAAAACGAGAAGCACTCGAAGATCCACCACTCCCGGCTATTACTCTGATAGCCGCTTGGCTACGAGCGGCTGGTCGGTAGTGTGGTTAGCTGTTAGTTAGACAGCATATAGCATCACCCATCCTTCAGTAATGGGACCCATATCACACGTGTTGACTGCCTTCTAAAGTGACAAATTATCAGATGCAAGTCCTTCTCACAGAGCGAATGGAAGAACGGGTCGTGCTTAAGTACCAATCTAGTTACACTGTTGATTGTGCACTAGTAAGTGAACGTTTAGTTATTCACACGGGTGTAAGATGCCCTGGAGTTTATTGCTATACGTACTGCTGATAATTCCCAGCTTTACAGTGCTCCCCGGCCTTTCAGCATAGGTGAACTTTACTCACAACACGAAACATCATTTAAAGCATTGGGTGCTGCTATATCACTTAGCTTAACTTTCAGAAAATATTAGATTAGTCGGGTGGGAGCATGTGGGTTAAGGCAACCAGATTCAAACTTGTTGCTTCAACTGTTTGCTGGATTGTTGGTATTTGGTGGAAATATTTGCAGCAATGAGAAATGGAGATTTGAAGGTAGTAAGCAGTGCCTAGGCTTCACCAGATATTTGGTTACTACTATAATTTGTAGAACAGGTTCACATTCCAAACAGGCATCTGACGAATTATTTGGAAAATACTGCAACCATCGTCGGGGGTGACAGAAGACCATTCACAACGGGTGGGGCATAACGGGTGAGATAATATTTGGACGGTATATTCCTGCAACAAGCTGGGCTGATGGCCGACCAAGGCGCTCAAATTTTGCTTTGCAATCAAAACTCGGCGACCCCAGCTTTTCAAGAGGCAGTGCTACTGATAACACAGCAACAGCACCAAGTGTGAAAGAATTGTTCAGGCTATCCCTCTACCCTAGAACTGATCCAACCCCATAGTTGACTAAAATACGTGACCTGATGACGTTCTCCGATTCCTTATAAGGATGTCTCAAACACATAAATTTGGTTGTCATCTATTATAAGTGCAATCGAAACGTTGCTGTCTCGAAGTTTCTCTCATTTTTCTTGCAAATTGGATCCGATGTATCACACCCCATCTCAGAGCTTACCCACCACTGGGTACATATATTTTCATCCAGTCGTACCGCAGTTGAAAACTCCTTTCTTCGCCTCTACTGCTGCTGAGTTTTGGGACAAATAATACGGGTAACATCGTACAATGAATGTCCCTACGTGAGCCGTTTGTCAGAGCACATCGAATGAAAGGAAAAATATGCATCACTTTGCTGTATCTGGAGTATATTTAGCCAGTGGTATTTGACGAAGTTCATCAATTATGTTATGGGAATGATGTCCTCATCAAGCCATATACACATTCAAACTTCTTGTTGAATTGACCGCGCTTATCGTTGAGCACGGTTGAGCAGACTTTGGATGTTGTCTCAACCAGTTATTAGCAAACAGAGAAACTGAAAAGACAATTATGGTTCCTAATGTGATTTTTTACACCAAAACATAGCAGTGTGTTGCCAGTTGAAACGTATGTCGCGACCAGGGAGCCCTTTCACGGGTTAAGTTTTCACGGAGAAACAGTGAGTAAATTTTTATGTGCTGTTGGTTGTTTTCCTAATCGACAAAGGAATCTGGCGGCTAGACCTACGTTGGCATTCCCCACTCAACCTGAAGCAGCAGCACATACGGACGTTCACAGACACACCACCATTTTCGACCACACACTTGTTTTCTTATAATATATAATAAATAGATCTTGAGCTGTAACACCTTTCTGGGGCCGAGCTGCCATGCCACCCGAAGGAAGCCCGGGGGCTGGGATACTGCTAGTTTGTCCAAGCTTAGACAGGGATGTAGAAATGTAGAGGTCGGCTTCGAACCACGGACCTTCTGGTCAGTAAATTCGCGCTCTAACCACTTGAGCCATCTCGCCCCCTTGTTTTCTCATAATGAGTAGTCAACTATTGAGCTAAAGATTGGCAACCTAGACTATCAACCTAAGGTTTTGAGGCTTAGGGGTGAATTCGATTGGTGTTTATAAGCTGAGAGATACTCTAAAATAGTTTTTCCTCGAGATTTTTAATAGTGTGCACCTCATATATGTCAAAACGGACCAAACGCTCAAACCTAATGTACAGTGTCTGAATGTATACCATTAAACCAAAAGCTGGTCACGACAATGTGAACATTGTGCTTGGAAGGGAAATAGTGCCATTTATTCTTCAATCGTGCGAGCAATCTGATATTAATCGATCGCTCAAATGGTGAATTTTCAGCTGGAGTTCAACCTCACCTCGAGACTCCTAAACTACTTATTTCTGATGGTATTCAACCAAAGAAGTCAAAACAAATATTATAGAAGCTGGAGGTACCAGTTGACATCACTCTGGCTTAGAATCGTAACCGGAACCAAGATATTTAATTTGAAGAACGAGCAAAACTGAAACATTTTAGACTAAAAGCAACTAGCATCTTTACGAGTATGTGGAGCTAACTAGGAAAA